AACACTATGCAACAGGCTTCCTGAAAAGTTGGCTATTCCGAGCATACATAGAGGAGTTCATGCTTTGTAATTGAGTGCCTAAAGAAATCTTTTTCATCAAATTATTGTAAGATAAGTCCAAAACGCTGAGAAAATTTAGATGTGCAAGTAGGTTTGTTATCTCCTTGAAAGCTATTTTCGAGACAAGTCAGGGTATTCCAACATCTCTATTTGACCAATGCTTAAAATGATATTTTTCATCAAATAATTTCTAGATAAGTTCAAGAAAACTAAACCTCTTATAGCAGAAAACTCTTGAGAATAGTTTCAATTGACTTATTTTCGGAAAGATCAATGCCTTCCAAATGTCCTAGTCCTAGTGTTATGCATTCTAAATCTTATCCTTTCCATTGAACGAAAGCATTGTTAACATGAACGTTTCTTTAGGTCAAAAATTTTTTTTAGCAAGGAATACACGGTTTAACAACAATTATATTTCATATCTAATTATCAAGGTCATTGAAATGAAGGTTGTTATCTGTGAATTAATCACAATTCACTTGCCCATTTTCTTTTACGCGTGGTTCAGTAGGAATGCACTAATTTTTAGAAAGACCACCCAATCTGCGACAATGCATCCAAAAAAGAATTTGACTTGTTCTAAAGGTTTATTTTAAAAAAAAAAAAAATTGAGTTCAGCATGCAGTTCTTTGTACTTTTAGAAGTAGTTCACATCAAAGCCTTTCTCATCGAATTCACCATTGTCTTAAGTGGATGGTAAGAAGTTACAATCCCTTCTCGAATTGAAGCAAAAAAAAAAAAAAAAAGGTTTTTAGACAAGTGGTTCAACATAGTATGATGGTAGACAAAGATTATGAACCCAAGTTCGTCGTTATACATCTATGAGTGCCTATAAGTGATTATAAGCTGTTAGTTCTATAAAATGTGAGAATTAAAAATGAGCAATAATTTTGGATTCTAAGAAATATGTAAATGAAAGTATGCTTAATCACCTTAAATTATAATTTAAGTTTTGTCATACATGAACAAAAATTGTCCATGTGCCATGCTATGAAAAATGAATTCGGCTTATACATGGGGCATGGTGGAAACTAAATTGAAGTAAATAAAGCAACTAAGAAAAATGAGGAACGATTAGAATAGATCAATCTTCTCAAGGACCATGATGTCTACCCTTTAAATGCTTGTATTCCATTTTTGGTTTTTCCCTTCTACCTCATCTTCTACTTTTCATTTCATCTTTAGCCTATGAGCATATATCATATAAGTATACAACCAACTGACAAAGACAGCGTCAGACTAATTCAAGACGTCAATATTTTGGGCTTAAAATAATCATGTTCCTTGTCTTTCACAACCAAGTGGGGAAGGTTGAATACTATGTCTGTTGAAGATAGACAATTTCAAATGCTTCATTCTTAACAACTTAACCTAACCTATTAGATAAGGTATGAGAGAAGGCAAAGACATATTCCCGACTTGGAATCACCCATTTATGAAAATTGTGTCGTATCAAAGACTTTATGGTAAATACCAATGGCAGATCCAAGATATTGAGTCAGCTAGGGAGGCCGTTGACCCTTTACGGAAAATTTTCAATCAATGTATAAATACATTAAAACGTAAAAGTCATATACATTTAAAGATATAATTCAATACAATCCAAAACAATGAGAAAAATACATTTTGCAATCATATATGCATGATCAAGTTTCAAATTTTTTACGAACTTAAGCGAGATAATATACATGAAGCATGATTAAGTGGTAAAGACAAGCTCCGAGCTTAAGCGAAGGTTATGCAAAATTTTGAAAATAATAATTTTTAGAATTAAAATAATTTTCAAACTCAAAAGAAAAAAAGGTTTTTGGAACTTTTAAAAGAATAAAAAGCAACACTTAAATTGTCCAAATTTGAATTTTATAAAATAATTTGATAAAATCTAACAATAAAAGTATATATATTATGAAGTAATAATTTGGGTCAATAAATTTTTTAAAGAAATTATTTTGAAAATGAAAACTAATAATATATAATTGTTTAGTCATTATTTATTGTATTAAAAAATTAAACGAAAAATGGGAGTACATGGATTTGAACACCATACCTCTCACATACAAAGTGACCCCTCCACCATATGAACTATATTTCCTTTTGTTGAAGGTTAGTACAATTATGAGTTAATATTTAGTTATTATTTACTGTGTTTAAAAATTAAGAGGAAAAGTACTGTTGAAAGGAATTGAACCAGTGTATCGTTGCATGGAAAAGCGACGCCCATCCATATAATTTGCACACCATTTCGTTCAGTGTTATATATACATATAGACACATGCACACTCGGGCGGCTTGCTCGGTGCTGGATTTACCCCTGGTCAAGACACTTTGAGTAAATAAAAATGTTCTCAATTCTATTTGACAACTTAAACCTTTAGACAATATATATCGATAAAGTCAAGATTAAAATACACGTTGATGTTTGGTGGTGATAAAGAAAAATCGCATGATGTATTGACCCAGACTTATGGAGTGAGCAACAAAGAATGAGTTGTCTATTGTATATTATTCTTGAATTTATGCAAAACAAATAGGGTGTTGAGTTTAGAAAACGACTTTGTGTGGCCGAGCTATTTCTTGGAAAAATCGATTATCTGCAACAGTTGAGTGGGTCCTGTTTTGTTTCTTTAATGTAAAATACATGAGTTTTGCTACCCAAACAAGGTGAGCGACACGGGTTAAAAATGGGGGGACACGTGTTAAATTTTCCTTGGACAATTTTATAAATAAATAAATAAAAGAGGAGCCATACAGGCACTGTCAACGCAGCATCTATCAAAAGCCTATCACCTATCCCTGTTCAAGGAGCGTTACTCAAAATAAATGACCATTTCTAACAAGAGAGAGACTGAAATAGAAGTCAACATTGGTGGCTTTTGTGAAAATATCCATTTCGAAATTCCAAGTTTAGTCTGACATATGAAACGTGTGGAGGATAGAATTGACGATTTAGAGGAAATGATTATTTTCCAAACTTCCCCTATTCAAACGTTCATATAGTAGGTCATTAATATTATATTGAAAGAATGGCCCAGAAAATCTATCCGAATCTCATAAATTTGTCCAAAAAAGCCAATCCAAAAAGGGGAGAGGGGTGAGGGTTAATACATTGACTTCATAGATGGGCATAGATCCGAGTCAACTATGTCAATTTGTACTTTGATCATATACACAATTTTTTGGAGTATGGTTTTTGAAAGAAATTTGATTGACACATTGATGCAACTTAACAGATGATGAATTGATGATGATGCCTGAGGGTGTATGATACACCAACTCCATCCCGCATGCAATTGGCTCCAATTGACTAGGAGGTGTCTGTGATTGTGCCAAGTGGTAATAAATGACAAATCAACCATAGCAATGGTGTTACCATGTGAAAGAATTCATATTGGTTTGTTTTTATGAGTAATGACTTCTGATGGCTTAAATTAAAGAAACTGTGGCTACAGCTGGCTACTAGTTACAACACAATTTTATTACAACTATGAAATAAAGAATTAGTTTTAGTGATGGTTTTTATCGAAAATTTTAATATGTCATCGGCAAATATTAATCTTTGATCTTGCATAGTATTATTTGATTTCCTCCGGCATATTTTCTTCCGTTGAGGAGATTAATATCTACTACTAACTACATATTGTTTTCGTGATGATAATAAAATTTGATGTGTTGGATTAAATAGTCCTCGAAAATAAAGACTGAATCAATAAATATGTGACTTCTGCAGCTACTGCAATCACAAAACTGTGAAAATTTTGATGTGGTCTGTGTTAATCAAATTCACATTTGAGTCGCAAGCTATATTTTTGTAGTTTGTGTGATTTTGAAGCACATATGAAATGTGCAAAGAGCCGTATACAGAACCAATAACCTGAAAAGATCAAATCAAGAAGTGTTCAACCCAAAATTTAACATTCTTTTGGTACCCTTCTGGAAATGTCTTTTTAGGGGTCCCTCTACTATACTATACACTTACCCCTCAATTAAGGATCGACTCAGTATTGTGTGTATTGAGTATTAGATATTATGTATTAAGTTGTCTACTATTCGTACGATTGAGGCCGATTTTAAGTGGACATAATCCTCCATTGTGGAAAAACAACTATAATTGTGTGTTTGCTTTGTAAGGAACATACAATTTTAAGCAGCATTATCTACATATTCTCATTAGCACCTTAGCATTCAAGGCTAAGTGATAAATAAAATTAGATTTCAAAATGTTGTTCTTTGTATTTTTCCCGAAAGCATTAGTGGAACTTCACTATTTTATAGCAAATAATCGAATATTTCTAACATATAGTGGGGTTTAAGATTTATTTTTTACTTAATTGCATTTTGCACTAACGAATCTAGAAAGTGGCTTGAGTTTTTTAGTACATACAAATTATATAAGTCATCTACGTGAATAAAAAATAGCTAAAACAATTAATTAACCAAGCGATATACTTGATCTCCATTAAAATTTATTTTTACATCAATTATTAAGCACAACAAAGCTAGTTATTTGTATAGGTTGAGATCTCATGAATTGATATTATTTTTTCAAATACTTAGAAGATAAGACAATGGTGATAACTAGAATAGAAACACTGCCATGCATAGTCCCTACACCTCTCCAGCCAACAACTTGTTTGAATGATAGTCAGCACTTTCTTCTTTCCCAAAAGGGGCTCCTGATTTCAATATCAAACCAAGTCAAAATTTGGATATATAACAACCAGATTAATCAAGTAAATTTTAGTGATTACCTTCACGTCTGAAATTTTCTCTTGAGTCTTGTAACATAGATTGTTGTTGTCACGTACATCCAATTTCCAATGTTATTCCAAAAATTGAAATAGGAATGTCTCCGAGAATGCCTGAACAACTACCAGAATCTAGTAATAAAATCAAATGCCGAGCAAAAATAAAAATCACGAGTTATAAACCCATCATCTTCTTCAAAAATATTCCTTTTCGTGATCAGTCACAGAATTATTAGAAATATCACCAGGACACTCCGTCAGAGGCTTTCCACAGAGTTGGATATTCCCAGCATACGCAGAGGAGTTGAAGCTTTGAAGTTGAGTGCCCAAAGGAATCTTTCCCGTCAAATTATTGTATGATAAATCCAAAACACTGAGAAAATTTAGATGTGCAAGGCTGTTCGGTATCTTCCCTGAAAGTTGGTTCCGAGACAAGTCAAGACATTCTAACATCTCCATTTGACCAATGTTTGAAATGATATTTCCAATCAAATGATTTCTAGATAAGTTCAACAGAACTAAACCCCTTAAAGCAGAAAACTCTTGAGGAATAGGTCCAAATAACTTATTTCCAGATAGATCAATGCCTTTCAGAAGTCCTATGTTTTGTATTATGTATCTTGTCCTTTCCATTGAACAAAAGCGTGGTTAACATAAAGTCCAGCATGATCGGGAGGTATGTAACTCCCCCAATAACCATTGTATTCAATTGAACTGTTCTTCTGAACCAAAGCAGTAATATTATTTAAACACCGTGATATTCTTCCTGAAATATTATTTCTGGAGAGGTCCAAGACATGGGTATTGGCAAGGCGGCAAATTGTTGAAGGCATGATTCCGTCAAATTCGTTACTTCGAAGACTAAGAATTGTCAAACTTGTTAAATGTGTTCCTATCCATGCAGGAATATTACCGGTTAACTTGTTTCCTCCCACATCAAACGTTCTCAGTCTCGTGCAATTCCTCAAAGTTGAAGGCAATTCACCAATGAAATTTTTGTTGCGCAAGTGTAATATTTCAAGCTGATCCAAACTGCCCAAAGTGAGGGGAATTTTACCTCAGAACTTATTATTTGCCAAATCCAGAATAGATAATCAATTTATGTTGATCAAGCAACTAGGAAGCTCTCCTTCCAATTTGTTATCAGAGAGATCAAGAACGACGATGATTAGGGCCTCAGGAATTGTGCATTAGTGAGAAATAGATCCCAAAAAAATATTTTTGGAAATTTTTAATTCTCCAGAATGAAAAAGAAATAATGGAATTGGACCTGAAAAATTGTTATAACTTAAATCTACAACAACACGAAGAATCGACTTTGAGAACAAATTAGAAATTTTACCACTAATATTGTTATAAGAAAGATCTAATAGTACTAAAGAAGACATATTCCACAACCAATTAGGTAATGCATCTGATATACCAGCAAAAGAGAGGTCAAGCATTTTAAGAGTACTCTGAGTTTGAATCCATTTTAGAAAATGAGGCCCCAAATAACAATGGCAGAGCAATATTTCTTCCAATTGAAAATAAGGAATCCAATCTGAGCTAGAGTTGAAAGCCAAGGAGTTTAAGGATAAATCTAGGGATTGTAAGTTGGCAAAGTTTGAGAGGTTCCATTCAGTGATTGTACCTTCCAACAAATTTGAAGACATTCGTAAATATTGGAGCTTGGAAAGTTTCTCAATACCTTCGGGTAGACTTCTAAATTGGTTGTCAGATAACCCTAAATTTTCAAGACTTGAAGGTAGCCCAGGGCTTTGTGGGTAAGACCCATTCAGCTTATTGTTGTTAAGGATCAAATTTTTTAAGGATGAAATTTTTAGTAAAATCTGGCAAGGGACCGTTTAATTCATTGCGATATGTCTAGATTATATAAATGACTTAAATTCCCCAAAGATTTTGGAACCCTCCCGCATAACATATTGTTACTCAAAACAAGATCCTCAAGAAAAATCAATTTCCCAAACGCATCAGGAATAGAACCCTCTAATCGATTACTGGAGAGGTTTATGCTAGTAAGATTGCACCAAAGTTAAACAAGTGGAATGTAAAAGAGGAAGTGAGATCATTGGAGGATAAATCGAGGATGGACAGATAGGGTAAGGAAGAATTAGTAGAGATATTGAAGGAAGGCACTGTGTTGGGAAGTTGACAGTTTTACAAATATAGTTCCTCAAGGAAAGGAAACCTTGTTATGTGGTGCAACCAGCTGGTTTGATTCATAAGGTTAACACCACTCAAATCAAGATATGACAGCAAAGAAAGATGAGAAAGCCACACAAGGTTCTTGATTCTCAAATCATTGTAACTAAGGTCAAGTGTATGCAGGTTTGTAAGGTTCCCAAGTTCACAAGGAACTTCACCACTGATGTTTGATTCTGAAAGTTTCAAGTGCCTTAATTTCTTGAAGGAACCAAAGAATCTTGGTATTTCAATTGTTCCAAAATCATTATGACTCAGGTCCAAATAATTCAAATGCTGCAATTCAAGCAGTGCGAGGCTAAGCTTAGCAGCCTTCAGATAAATATTATCAGACAACAGATCAAGTAAAACTACGTGACCAATTCTGTTGCTACATGAGATGTCACTTCCCCAGTATGAGAGAACGCCATAGTCATCAACAAGGTCATGCTTAAACTTGAGAAGAGCTTGTCTTTCCCTGTCTATGTACCTAACTTCAGCATCAGATACTGTAGTAAGTTTCATGCATAGTGAAAGTACAAACATAAGCACACTCAGTATTTTGATGAATCTGTTAATCTCCATAATTTTTACTGATATCATGTTTACAGTAATTGAAAAAGATTGAAGTTTTTCAAGTTCATGCAATCATATTATATGTGAAGCACGTGTAGAGCCGTAGAGGATGTATGTCCCCAATGAAGTAGATTCCACTATAATTTCTTCTAGCATTCATAACGGGCTATAAAATTGGTCTTCATAAACATCTATTCATGGGGCCTCAATTACAACACAATGTCACTGTAATCCTAGATGTGTTAAAGATTGAAATTTCTGATTTTTTAAGTTGAATCTTACCTATAATTATTGTCAATTACAATATTAATTATTGTTATTATGATATTAACCACTGCAAAGAATTCCCAAGGGAAATTGTCTAGGTTATGTAATCTACATGACACAATCCCTGAAGTCCCAAGTGAAATTATGATATTAACCACTATAACTTTTAAAATAAATATAGCACACAAATTAATGAAAAAAAAAAATTGAACACGAAATATAAAAAAATATAATTATTTGAAATACTCAACTTGATTATACCAACAAAAGAGATATCGTGATGATATATTATGAGTTTTAAGCTATTTCAGAAAAAACGTGGTACATATTGCAAGAACAAAGGTTTATATTTTGTAATTGAAATTTTTGAGTTACAAAGCAAATTTGAACAAAAAATGGTTCAAGTGAGACACTAACATAACTAGTTATAAAACATTGTTCGTCACTCAACTTATACGAAATTTCATGTTGGTCATCAAACTTTATTTTTGTTTTGAAATAGTCATTAAGTTTGACCACTCAATTAATTAAATTGCATTAAGTATTCTAACAGAATGTATAATGCATAATTGCTCCACGTTAGATTGCTATCTACCACATCAGGCTAGAAAAAAAATTAAAATCTAAACAAAGATCCTTTTTTTTTTTTTTTTTGAAACCTATTCAAATTTTTTAATAAGCTTAACATCCTTGCTTTGATATGTTGGTGGCTTGAGGGTTTTGCATTGACCCTTACCTCAATTTTACTGCTACACTCTTTTGAAAAGAAATTTATTTAGTTGATTTGTTTAACCTCTAGTTTGATCCATAGGTTTAAAATATGGGGCTCTCGAGTTTAAAAGTAAAAGTGCAATAACTAAGAAATGGGGTTGTTGATGAATCTTTTTTGTCAGCAGTCATTTTCAGAACTAAATGTTACATTAACTAAATTGTGGGTATATATTCTTCACCATTTAAGCAACACTATTTCTAGCATTAATTGTAAAAGTAAGTTTCTTGTAGATATTTGTTTGGAAAGTCTTGACTTCCACATAATTTATTTAACAAATTTCCACAAAATTGTTCTTTCAGCATGAAATACACTGCTATATTTCATCTATTATTTAAGCTTTTGAAATTAAAGTTGTTATCCGTGAATTAACTATTTATCACGAACTTCTCCATTTTCTTTTACACATGATTCAGTAGGAAAGGATTAATTTTCACAAAGATCGTCCAATCCATGACAATGCGTCAAAAAAAAAAATTTATGACTTGTTCTAAGATTTTTCTTTTTTTTTTTTTTTAAATATTGACTTCACCATGTAGGTCTTGTTTTATCTCAAGATTCTTTGTAAAATATTGTAGTGAAGCACCAAATTACATGTTTTAATCAAGTGGTTCAAATCAAAGTTTTTCTCATTGAATTCACCACTATCTTATAGTTTGTATGGACATTAGCTGTATAACAATAGTCTTCCAACTTGCTGGAAAAAGGCAAAGAAACTAAGAAAAATGAGCTACGAGAAGAATAGAAATTCTTCTCAAGGACCATCCCGTTTTGTTTGATCCTCTTCTTCTTCTCACCTAGAAGAGTCACAGGACTCATTCTTCTCAGACCTGCTTTCACTTATTTTTCTCCTCTTCAATGATAGCAACCTTTTTGCCCAAACCTTGCTCTTTGCTTGCCCTCTCTTCATTGTCTCACTTGGGGTTGAAAGAAATGGCTCTTTTAATTACAAAGCAGGAATATTTGCAATGAAAAATGGTGTAATATTTTTTAACAGTCTAAAAACTCTTTAGAACAGAAATGCAGGCTATTTATAGATTTATTTGTGATCATTCAAACAGTCTAAAAACTCTTTAGAACGGTGGTGACAACCTTTCAAAACGAATAGAGATATATGTTTAGACTAAAACCATGCGTCTATTACAGCCTAATAATAGTAGTTGATCACATCAGCCATAGATGTCTATTATGGAAAATTAAACATCGATCACAAAGGTTCCCTGACATTCACATCCAAAAAATTACGAAGAAACGAGCTAACAGAAGGACCTTTTGAAATTATTTTACTACGTACCTAAGAATTTTATTAATTACAATTCGGACCATTTAAATTTTGTCCAAACTAGATATATGTAAGACAAGGACCCAATCCCAAACTTGAAACCACTCAAGCCTAGCCTAGGCATGCGCACATTTTTTTCAAGCCAACCAAAAGGATGACAGCAGCGAGCGTGCATTTTGGCTTTGGACCGAACTCAATAGGATCGTGATCTTTCCCTTTCTAAAGACTAGTAGTACTCGTGGATGCTCGAACCCAATTGTCAAACTTCCACCACATAAACCAAACAATATTTTTTAAGGCTTTCTATGTGGAACGAATGTTTAGCGATTTCAACTAAATTCTCACTTATTTAAAGTTTGAAGTGGGTAATTTTGAATTGAAATATTTCATTCAATACCTATTGATTTTTGACAAGTAAATATATCATATTAATCATTTCGCAAAGTAGAAAATGAATATGCTTGGTCGTATTAATTTCGAATTACAGGTTTCACATAAAATTAAACTCAAAGCAGCTTGATTAAAAAACTATTTTTCAACAATCTCAACATAAATAAAATATATTGATTTTCCTAAACAATACAATACCAAATACGAATTTCGAATACAAATAAAGAAAAACTGTATCGAGATAAATAGCCAAAGACTGGTCTTTTTTCTTGTAAAAAACTATCGAATTTACTTGGTCAATCAATAGCAATATGCTTTGAATAGTTAGTCGTTCGTGTAAAACTATACAATAGAAGTCACACAATTCCATTCAAAAACATTGGTTCTAACGATTGTGTCAATTTTGACATTGGACACCCCCTGGTTTATTAGTATTTTTAAAGAATTCATCCTTACATATTAATTCTCATAGAAGCGATCCATTCTCACCCATATATGTGATCACCATAAAGAGCATTCTATTGTAATCTACTTGAACAAATAAAATATAGAGAGCATTGAAAGCTTAACTTGATTCTCACAACAATTAGGCATTGTCTCATCATAGAAATGGGTAGTAGTGATGAATCTCCCCATTGCGTACTGATTTTTCACAGTTTGATTGTCCCATTAAATCTAGATTTTTAGATGAAAACTCTTGGTTACGTTATCAATTTTAACCATCTTCCTTGATGAACTTTCGACTTGCTATCTTTTCAAACCTTTACTTATGATAAGTTATCTAAGCTGTTAAATATGTATATTTGAGATTACTTATGATGAATTATATCTTAATCTCTCATATATATTTGTTAGGTAAAACTTAATTATTTGAAGTGATGTTAGAAGAAAGGAAGTGAAAATTGGCCAAAGAGTGGGGGGGAAAGAAGAATAGAAAAATTCCAAAGTTTGGGGACTAATTACAAATATTTAAAAGTTAACTCGGACCAAGGAATGAAGATTGAAGATAAACTGAATTGCAATTGATCAATTGAAAGTATTATTAGAGCAATCGAGGTAAATTCACAAGTTTCGATAGCAAAATTCAACAATCAAAAAGTTTAGAGACCAATTTGAATAAATCTAGAATATGGCAAAAATGATAACCATACGATAGTAAAGGGAAAATTTTTACCAGCAAAACATTT